ATGGCCCGGCCCTGGGTGGCAAATCTCTTTCAGGTGATGCTTGTGATATGCGCACCACGCCCTTTTCTGCATACACACAGAAGGGAGGCGAAAGATTTCAGCAAGGAACTGAATCTAAGCCCAAGGACACAGAGAAGCTATCGAGTGCTTAGGAATTTAGATCCACCTGGCCTGCTCACCTGAAAATCAAGCAAACATCCAAATTGATCTATCACACAAAGTGGGAGGAAGGTGGGGGTAGTGGCATATGAATTATCCTTTGAAGCTAGAAACCATTACTCAAGGCTACCCTTGTAAACGAGAACTTCAGCAGACCTCATTCGGAGCTCACTTTCGTGAAAGGCGCGACTCTCAAACTTCAAATGAAGGAAGGCTCGATTCATTGTGGATGTCCTGAAATTGGATGCTGCCAGTAATTCAACTCGTGCCTTCTACGTGTCTGCACTCTTCTGTCTCTCAATGGAGCCTGGCCCATGGTCAATCCTTGCCTGTGGGACTGCATGGATTGAGAGCTGTGACCTCACCCTCGCCATAGATTTAGGACAACTCTGCTCCCGCATTTTGGATACGGCCATACATAGTGAGTGGGACATGGCATTCAGCGGGACCGATGTTGCTGCACTTGCATTTATATATATATATATATATATAAGCAGCTGAAATGGCACTGCCTAACGATCACATAGGCATACCAAAAAGCTCTGGCTGGGGCTGATGGACAGCGCTGATGGACAGCGTTCTATATATCTACTGAGAATCTACTGCAAAGTGATTGCTTGTGCATCTGTCAATCTTGATGAAATGCCAACTGTGCAACTATGGCTAGTTGCATAGATTTGGATGTGCTTGCACACCATAAAGCTGAGGGATGTTTGAGTTGTTTGCCAGTTTCTCAGTTGAATTTTAGGTCTTAGCATGCTTGCTGACCGCGAAAAGCGATTGTGTTGCCAGCACCTGCATGTGTGTGCTCTCAAGCATAGGGTCGCATCATGCAGTACCACAGCGTGACTGAAGAAACATCTGGGTCTTGCAAGTGGTGATCGAATTGTTAGGGTTGCTAACGACAACCCAGGCTAGATTGCTCTTTCTGCCAAACAGCGACGCCGGTGTCTGTGCAAGTGATAC